TCAGAAGTGGTTAAAATCAATTTTCCAGTCAGCAGGGTTTGAATGAACAGAGTTGAAGGTGCTGTGAATGAAAGAGTGCTTGATAATGCTTTTGATCAATTGACGTAAACCGGGTCAAAGACAATTTCCATCTAGCTTTTAATCATTATATACAGCTGTTATGTTCAAAAACTCATGGATATTCATTCAGAAGTCGCAATCCTGGTCTGTTTATATTTTGAGTCATATTTTTATGCTATCACATATTGTCCAATGATACAAAGAGAAAAACATGATGATTTATATTTATTTCCCACACACATATGAAATAATAACTTCTCTCTGTCATCATTGCACCAAATGAAATCTGTCACATAATTTAACCAAACTGCCTTCCTTAAAATTTTGCATCGTACACGATTTAATCCATTGGTTCAAAGTCCTTCCACTGCAGAAATGTTCATATCTCCACCGAGATTTTATTACTTTGTGCAACTGAGCAATACATCTTCTATATACTGGTTTACATCATGACACTGGACTTGCTGTGCAAGCACATCTAAATGTCAAATGACTGATAGCCTCTGATATGTGAGTATAGAGAATGTACAATACATCCCTCCCAAATATAGTTATATGTTTGTCTTGTGCTGCTTCATCTGTACTTGCGAGGGAGAGAGGGAAAGAGAGATGGCTTGGAAGTAACTGGGCTCCAGGCTTTTCTTCTGAATACGTTCAAAGGGCAAATGAGGAGCTGCAGAGAGAGAGGGACTAACACAGAGAGATCAGCTGAAATACAAATAAACGACAATATTGCAAGTCTTCTGAAATCAGGTGACAGCTTTATGTGACGAACATGTTGAAATTTTAAGGCATTATTCACAGATAATTTTCTCCTTAAATATGACTTACTCAAATATGAATATACTTGGAATATAATGTCATTGGACAATAAGTCATTGGACCATTTTTGTATGGGGGAATGTATATATATATATATATATATATATATATATATTATTTTTATGTGTTCTATAGAAAAAGTAACATATTTGTTTGGAATGAAATGAGGGTGAGTGACGTTTTATTTATTGTTGAGTAAACTATTCATTTTTTTTTATTCTGAATTTACATTATCTTAATAGTGTGTGTTTATATACTGTATATGTATGATAAATTGACAAATGTAACCTTAAAAACATCAAAGCCCTTAGGAATTGTTATATTATGCAAAGCAATAAGGGGATTTTAAATGGGGTGGACCTGAACAGTTGACATTAACTTAAAATGATAATTGTAACAGACAATTTGCATGCATTTACATATAATACAGGAGTATTTACATGCAGCATTCACAAAGGAGGGGGATGGGGGAGTTTGTAATATATTTAATTTATATTAAATGCATATTTTCTGAACTAAATACTTAGAATATACACTCACCTAAAGGATTATTAGGAACACCCCTTTCGCCTTCAGAACTGCCTTACATGGCATTGATTCAACAAGGTGCTGAAAGCATTCTTTAGAAATGTTGGCCCATATTGATAGAATAGCATCTTGCAGTTGATGGAGATTTGTGGGATGCACATCCAGGGCACGAAGCTCCTGTTCCACAACATTCCAAAGATGCTCTATTGGGTTGAGATCTGGTGACTGTGGCGGCCATTTTAGTACAGTCAACTCATTGTCATGTTCAAGAAACCAATTTGAAATGATTCGAGCTTTGTGACATGGTGCATTATCCTGCTGGAAGTAGCCATCAGAGGATGGGTACATGGTGGCCATAAAGGGATGGACATGGTCAGAAACAATGCTCAGGCTGGCTGTGGCATTTAAACGATGCCCAATTGGCTCTAAGGGGCCTAAAGTGTGCCATGAAAACATCCCCCACACCATTACACCACCACCACTCGCCTGCACAGTGGTAACAAGGCATGATGGATCCATGTTCTCATTCTGTTTACGCCAAATTCTGACTCTACCATCTGAATGTCTCAACAGAAATGGAGACTCATCAGACCAGGCAACATTTTTCCAGTCTTCAACTGTCCAATTTCGGTGAGCTTTTGCAAATTGTAGCCTCATTTCCTATTTGTAGTGGAGATGAGTGGTGTTCAGCCGAGTCTTCGGCTGTTGTAGCCCATCCGCCTCAAGGTTGTGCGTGTTGGGGCTTCACAAATGCTTTGGACCACACCCCTAAATGCATTGAAGCAACTGCCGTGTGATTGGTTGATTAGATAATTGCATTAATGAGATATTGAACAGATGTTCCTAATAATCCTTTAGGTGCGTGTATATAGTTAGACATTAGGTTTGTTTTAATCTAAATGCAAAAATAGTCTATTGAACAGTGACATTGACAAACACAAAAAGATTTGGATGCAAATGCATTCGTTTTCAGATCATTTTAGGCTAAAAATTGCAACTACTAGCAAGAGGACTGCAACTACTAGCAAGTTTAAGATGAACAGAACAGCGTTTTCATTTCCTTTCCTTTTTTTTTGTCCCACATCTAATGGTGCAGCGATAAGAGGAATTGGAGAGCAGCTCACTGTTGGGAAAGGCTGTGCAAAAGGCCGGTCTAATCTCCATCATTAAACCCACGTAATATATCACAGCCAAACTCTCACAGACAGCTTCTACCCTGCTGCTTGGTAAATATATTAAAAACACACATTTTCTAAGACTAAAGCACAGAAACATGGAAAAACACACACACAGTATATGCCAATATATATCACAGACGTATGCCCTCGGCCAACTGTGAACCTTTTGCTGCATAAGTATATTGAAAAACAAAAACACACAAATGTGGATGGAAGCACACACTTTCTCGGGGCACAAAACACATGCACACACCGTTAGATTTATGTTATGTCATGTATCTGCTTAGTTTGTGTTTTGGTATGGCAAAAGTTTACAAAAATGCATTTGGGCAGAAAATGGATGTGATTTCCCATGACAAGATATTTCAACATGCATCAATAGTTAGCTGTATTCAGTATAATTAGTTCATACACAGTGTGATGGACATACTGCCGTAAACACACCATTAGAGTCACTGTTTCTGACTTGAGGGCTTCATCTGTTAGTCAAAACAAACATGCGAGGCTCAGTCACAAAAGTGAATGTGAGCATTTTAATGACTCCCTTACACAGTGTTTTGTCCACTTATTAAACAAGTGTGTACATGCATTTGTACATATTTCAACATGCAAAGACAGAGTGTGTTTGAACAGAGGGTTACGAATGTACAAATGAAAAATCATTTACTGACCTCATGTCATACCAAACCCATGATGTTCTTTTTTTAATAGGACATCAAGCTAAGAAATTCTACAAAACAGAATTTGTCTCCCATGAAGGAATGAACTCATGGTGATTGTTAAACTAATGACAGAACACTGGAGCATAACTCTATGTGTATAAGAGTCGTTCTCCATTCAGCAGTGAATTGAGAATTTGAATTGAGGTAGAAAATGTAACCAATCTTACTCGACTCAAGACGAGCAGGAATCGAACTGGCGTTTCTGGGCGAGCTAACAAGGGCGTTAAGGAACGCAGTCGGTAGCATCAGTTGCTAGAGGTCATCTTGAGGCCAGGGGAGTGAGGTTTACACGCACAGTTTTTACTGGCCTACGTCCGTTACACTCTCCCCCCAAACCTTACTCCCATCCGGGTCACGGCACCAAATGTAACCGCCTCGATCCGGCGTCTCCAGCATGGGAGGCAGATGCTAACAAGGAAGCTAAAGACTGCAGCCGCTATAACGTCAGTCACCAGTGCTGCTCTTGAGATCAGGGGAGTGAGGTTTACACGCACAGCTTGTAACACTTTGTAAAACTTACTTACACTACACTTACTGGCTTACATTCGTTACACAAACAGAATGCGGATTTGCCGATTCACATTTGAATATAAGGAAGTAATTAAAATTATTGAAATATAAAGTTCACATTCTTGCAATTTTTAACTTGTTTACATTTGTTTTTAGACAAACTGTGAATGTTTGCCTGATAGAATCTTATTTGTAAGTTTAAAAAAAAAAGAAAGTTTAAATTTCCTTAAAGTTTGAGAATGTTTATGGGGCCTATATATTTTTTCAGGATGGAAGAACCAATCATTGCCTAGAATGCATGTGTTACATTTCTGTTTTCCAATTACAATTCAGTAAATTTATCTTGTTATTCTACAATGCCTTCGCTACAGAAAAAAAACATTGATAACCCATCAGCAAAATCTAAATATTAAAACAATTATGACACAAATTACAGTAATAAAGTACCAACACCATTAAATATATATAACGTACAAAAATGTCAAACCATTATTTTTAACAAACGCAACTGCAATTTATAAATGACAGACTGTGAAATTGCAACATTTAGCCTAACACTAGCCTAAACTAGCCCTTTTTTTACCTGTGCAGTTTGCTAAAAATCATATAGCATGCACAGGTTGTTTTTTTCTGTTATTCAACTGATCCTAGCCATCGTGATTCATGTCTCTCCCCCACTCTGAGAACTCTGAACTTGTGGGTTTGGCTTGTGTGGATGGATGTCTGATTCAGTCGCGCGAGCGTCAGAGAGACGGTTGAGCTCCACAGCCCACCTCACCTGAAACATCAACCTTTCATTCAGGAAAACATATTGATTGAAAAAGCAAACAGAAGAACTTGTACTTGTTTGTGTTTTATCAATGTATAGATATAGCTACATAACATTTCTAAAGATCTCTATTTAACTGATGGTGATGTATCCTGACTCGCACGACGTATTATTGGAGACGGTGAGGTGAATGAGCTGCCTGGACATTGGTAAGTCATTCCAATATAATCCATTGATAGTCCAGACGCGTATTTTCATCAAACGGACATTAATAATTCAGACAACAAACAATTGTACGTTTCGCAATTTACGTTTAGTTTGTGCGCTTCGTGCACTCCTTCACGGACCATTTCGCCTTCGGTGTCTGGGAAGTGTGCCATGAAGTTTCCACGGACTCCGGTGTGTGTTTATGTCTCCTAGTGATAATGGTTTCATGTACCTATTTGTCTCTCAGATAAAGACACTGGAGGAGTGTGCTCGAGCGCAGGCAAGCCGTGCGTAATGAGTTTTTAACCCGCAGAATACATTTTACCCTAATGAAAGTGACCTGACAAGTTGCCTGAGAATAAGTCGATACGGCTTCTTTTGCTGTTGGAAATAAAACAATTCGGTCACGCCAATATTTGTATTAAAATTATTATTATGGTTATTCTGACAGACTCTCTCTGAGAGGATATAAAATATTCATAACCCGCGAGAGTTTCTTAATACGCAGTAAGTATGATATAATTCATTTTTAATATATATATATATATATATATATATTAATATGCCGATGTCATTTATTTACATATTTATAAGATTTACTATTATTTAAGGAAATATTTTCAAAGCCTTATACAGTCGTGATGAACAGTCCAAGCTATTTGTGTGAATTTTTGTATAATGTTTATTGTTTTCTGTATATTTTATTGCCTATTATATTAGATTATAGACATATTATCTGTCTGTCCTGGCTTCCACCAACCCACTTACTCATCCATATATTTATCTGAAAGGATTTCTAATGTCAATTCAAACCTGTTTTTACAGGTTGTCAAACCTAAGGACAGCTCGATCTTTCTCCAAAATCTAGCATGGCCATGTGTTAAATGGATTCGATCAGCTTAATAAATGGCTCCTCTGGGAGCAAAGACCTGGCCACTGGGGAGGATTCATCTGACATGTCTCTGAATCATCCTCTGTTAGAGCTGGGGGACAGCACCAAGCTTCTCGGGGTCCAGGTGGTTCTGATCTTGGCGTACTCTACCATCATCCTTTTGGGCGTTGTGGGTAACTCCCTGGTGATTTATGTGATTTACAAATTCAAGACACTTCGCACCGTCACCAACTTCTTCATTGCAAACCTAGCCGTGGCCGATCTACTCGTCAACACGTTGTGTCTCCCTTTCACGCTGGCTTACACTCTCCTCAGGGAATGGAAGTTTGGACAAGTGCTTTGTTTCACTCTGCCGTACGCTCAAGGTCTCGCTGTCCACGTCTCTACAATTACATTGAATGTAATTGCACTGGACAGGCATAGATGCATCGTTTACCACCTAGACACTCGAATGTCAAAAGACACCTGCTTTCTGGTCATTGCCATCACCTGGATAGTAAGTGCCGTCTTGGCGAGTCCACTGGCCATATTCAGAGAGTATGGGATTGTAGATCTTTCTCCAGATGACTCCATTGAGGTTTGTGGAGAGAAATGGCCTGACAGTAGTACAGACAGCACTCTATACTCGTGAGTATCAGGCATGCATATTTTAATGAACGCATTATTACAGTTTCCTTGTGCCCTCAAGATCCCGCAAATGTATTCTGTGTTCATTTATCAAGTGCTACTGTTTCACAATTGCACTGAAAGCTCAAAGATGTGCATATATTATAGATAAATATACATATTCATAATGATTGAAACTTTGATATCTATAAACTGATATCATCTGAAACATTGTGAATTATTTAGATTTTGACTCAAGGTTGCTGTATATGCTTATAGTTTTACTGTCAATTATTTATCTTTGAAAGCCTTGTTTGTTCCGTAACCGTTACATTACAGCTGAAATGAGTCATGGCTTGTTTTATTTTGTAACAAAAGTACATGTTTTATGAAATCATCTTTAACAATAGCATAATGACACTCTTCAGCTGCACTTACATCGATTACGGCTGTGTTTTCTTTCTCCAGAATCTCCACGCTGCTGCTGCAATATATATTGCCTCTGGCTATCATCTCGTTTGCCTACATCCGTATCTGGAGTAAACTCCGCAATCATGTTAGCCCAGTTGGTCGCAGCGACAGGCACCAGCGCCGCCGCAAGACCACCAAGATGCTGGTAACCATGGTGTGTACAGTTACTAGCCTTATTAAGTGAATATTATATCATAGTATTCCTGCATCTTTGTATCATTTTAGAATTCACACATAGAAGACAGCAAAAAGCCTATATGTGTATGTGTGTGTGTGTACATACACACACGTATGTTATACTATGGAAAATATTTTATAGATTATGAAAAGGCAAGGCAAATTTATTTATTTAACACATTTTCATACATAATCATAATTCAAAGTGCTTTACAAAGGAATTAAAATAACACAAATAAATAAAAATAACAATAAAATTTGAGAATAAAAAAATGTATAAAATACATTAAAACAGGCTGAAAATGCTGATATTTGGCAATGTTAAGACCAGTGTTGGGTGTAATGTACTACTTAATAAGTAACAAGTAATTCATACCTTTAGTTTAATTAATTTGTCCTTGAAAAAGTAAAATAAGCAATTACTCTTAATATTTTTCATTAATCTAATTAGTTACTTCTGATTAGAACAATTCTATGTAAAAACAATAGTGGGTTTAGCATTGTCTAATGTTATTAGTTTGTAATGTTTTTAATGTAATCATCTCCCTTTAAATACTTTGTTCAGTTTAAGGATATGAAATTTGTTTTATTTATTTTAAAAGAATTAATAGAGCATGCAGTTTCATGTTCATCCGTGAACTAGTCGAGATTAAGGGATTTAGATAGTAAGGTAATACGTAATGTGATACATTTGAGAGAGAGTACGTGGTAAAGTAATCTAATATTACACATTACTTTTTTAGAGTAACTTCTTGGTCAGAATTATTGAAAGTCTTCCAAATGATCTTGACATGAGCGAATATCACTTGCATCGGCCATTACGTCAGCCCATCACTCACAAATTCATACAATGTGTTCTGATGTTCACAACAAGGACCTTGCACATTTTTAGCTCGTGTACTTTCTCTGTTTATTCTCTTGAGCCAGGACTGAATGCTAGAACAGCATACTTCTTTCCCAAGAGCATTTCCACATAAGAAGCAGTTTTCTGTAACCCAAATATTTCAGAGCTATTTTCTCCACGGTTATTTTGAAAGAGGTTATAGTTGGCAATAATATAAATAGAGAATTATACCAGCATGTAGAGCAATCAGGCTTTTTTATTGCAGCTTGCCCAGTCGTGATGCAGCACGCATGCAGATAACCTCTCACCCGGTCTGTTGCAGGTCGTGGTGTTTGCAGTCAGCTGGTTGCCTTTTCACGCCTTCCAACTCGCCATTGACATTGACCACAGCGTGTTGGACATGAAGGACTTCCGGCTTCTTTACACAGTTTTCCACATTGTGGCCATGTGCTCGACGTTCGCCAACCCACTGGTGTATGGTTGGATGAACCGGAACTACCGCAGCGCCTTTGTTGCGGTCTTCCGTTGCAAGGAACGGCTTGATTCGTTGCACATCGAGGGCCAGGCTGCCCCAGCGGTTCGCAGCAAACCAAAAAAGGCTTTGGAAGCTCAAGATATGGTGACGACACATCTCAACGCAACAGATGTCTGAGGTGACGACAGTAAACCAAATAGTAAATCTATCTATTAGGGCTGTCAGTTAAACGCATTATTAACGGCGTTAACGCTAACCCATTTTAACGGTGTCCATTTTTTTATTGCGCGATTAACGGTCTTTTTGGCCTAGCAAACTTTGTAGTTTTTTCCATATGCTTTTGCATGCGTGGCTCTGCGCTATGAAACCCATTCATTTCAATGGCTTGCGCCGCACGAGGAGGACGTTTTGTTGCTTCGTCGACCAAAGCGCAAGCGGATCTAGCTAGACTGGAAACAACTAACAGGCACGCTGCACACACTCGTTTGGGCTTGCGAGCCGGCCAAATAGTAGGTTAACGTTACGTTTTGAGTGGATGACGAGCGTGAGACGCCGAAATGGATGCCAATAAGATTCTGAATGGAAACTTTACTAAAAAGTTGCCAAATTGTTCAATTGACAAGACCAAAGTGATCTGTGTTTTGTCGTTGTGAACTGAGCTGTCGTCATCGCAGCACGTCCAGTCTGAAATACCACTTGATGATGGCCAAGCACACACACACACACACATGCAAATTCTCCGCCCCCTCGTCAATATCAGGACCTCGTCAGTATTCGTTTCACCCTTTTATTGATGGACAGTGTTACATTGTGTGAGAGATTATTTGCTCCAAGTGAGAAAGTGTGAAATTGAACACATTATATGAAAATTGCACAAAGCAAGCCGATCCACTTTTCCATGCTGATAAAAGCATTAAAATGAGAAAAAATAATGTGAGAAAAAGAAATCAAGAGACATTTAGAATAGATAAAAATGTGCGATTAATCGTGAGTTAACTATGACATTAATGCGATTAATCGTGATTAAATATTTGAATCGTTTGACAGCACTACTATCTATCTATCTATCTATCTATCTATCTATCTATCTATCTATCTATCTATCTATAAACTTTACCTCTTTCTATTTTCATTGTTTAGGTGAGGATACTGAAAGGAGTGCTGATGTGAACTCAACAACACTGTCAAGGATTCATAGTGGTGGATTCATTGCATCTCCCTGGTGATTTATGTGGTCTCCAAATTTAAGAAGCTTCATAACATCACCATTTTTTTTCATTGGCACACCTTGCCTTGGTTGATCTACTTGTCATCATGGTTTGTTTCTCATCTACAGTATGCTGGTTTACACGACACTGTGGGAATGGAGTTTGGAAGTGCTTTATTTCACTCTACTGTATGTTCAAGGTCTTGCTGTCCATGTTCCTGTTACATGAAATTGTGCTGGTGGCATCTTTGCAACAATGTGACCTAGCTAAATTCTACACTGTGAGTTCAATTAAAGAGCACAGATGGGTAGAGCTCTTCACGTTTGTAAGATATTCTCATCTTCTTCATCAATGCATCTACACAAAGATCTATGAGGTGACTGAATGGGAGATAGAAGCGGATGCTTCTCCATTGCTATATATAGACAACTGCACAGTTTTGTTCATCGTTGAAGAAGGTTCGTCAGCATTCAACAGTTTTGGGTGTTGTCATACAACAAATTTGTGCACCTTAGATCTTGAACCTCACAATTGCTCTGTAGTTGTTTAGCAGTCATAATCTTGTGTGGACTTACAGGCAGGTCGAGCATTCAAATGGCTCTGGAAGGTGTTAACAGCAAATTGCTTCGCCTTTCATCTGAAAGTAATTTGCACTGAGGAATAGTGTGCCGGCACTCCTTTAGACTAACAACAGCACAGGCAGGGACAGGGAGATGTTTCTATCCCTGCGGTTTGAATGTTTCAACAGATCTGTATTATCCCCTCCATTAAAATCCATGAAAGATGTTCTGTCAGTTCCAATATTTTTCATATTAAAATATTAAGAATGTGTTTCATATAAAATACAGCACAAAGAATTATCATTGACAGTACCTGATGGATCAAAGTGGACTGTTCACTAGCTAGTTCACATTTTAAAAACATAATGGGTTGGCATGTGACAACAAGTAAAAAAGAAGAAAAAAAAACACTATTATTGTACTGGTAATGGAAATTTGCTTTCTACTGTATGTTGTTCTCTTCTGTAAAGCTATCACCGTGACAAATGAATGTAAGTACATATATATACAACATCTGACACACAATATGTTTATTAATAGGAATTGATCTACCAACACAAGAATATTTCCCTATGTTCTCCAATTTCCTGAAGGAAAATCGATCCCAAAGCTGCTTTAAGCAAAATGTGATGACTTGTACAAGTTATGGGATTTCTGATGGATTACTATTGGCATACCTGTCCACTGTAGAACCAAATTACTCCTTTTAACCTACATTGTCTGCAGGAAGTGAGAATACCACGTTTAATTAGGACTATGGGCTTCTGTGTGGATCCAACTGGGATGTGAATTAAGAATTATTCATAAGATACACCAGCAGCATTAAACTTTAATATTGTCATTTGACTTTCTTGCCATATTGAAAATAATGTTGACAAGTTCTTCAGCATGTAAAACCAAACAATAATACATTTACAATGGAAGTCTAACAGGCAGTGCATTGGATACACATTTAAAAACACTAATCATTTGAAAGTTGACCATTTAAAAATATGTTAAAGGGGTGGTTTACTGCTTTTTTTGTTGCATGATTGTGTTCATGGGGTGTGTGCAATATAACATGTATTCGTGGTTTTTCTTTTTTTTCCTTTTTTTTTTTTAATTCTTAATTTTCATAAATTTCACCTTTATTGTAAGCTTCTTTCTCCTGTCATTTGAACGACTATGAAACCACTCCCCCAGAAACAGGCAATGGGCTCAGATTGGTTAGTTTGGGCCGCTGTGTTGTGATTGGCTAAACTGTGTAGCCCACGTTGTCCGGAAACTTGCCAGTTGCGTTCCTGACAAATGTAAATAATGGCGTCGATACTGCCGTATCAGTTCGGACCAAGAAAGCGGCGATGAAGAGAGTCAAGCAGAACCTTCCCAAACACGGCTCTTACAAAACAATTCTGAATGGTAATTTTTTTTTTTAAATTATTGTTATATTCTATTCTAATATTATTATAAGAATTTCGATACGTTGTTACTTGAAAAATGCTACTGCTGCTTGTTAGCTTTTGAGATACGGTAGCCTATTCTCCTGATTAAACATTTAATATAACTGGATAAATGTATTTTTTTAAGTTGTTGTTTTATCAATATAATGAACAACCGTTTATCTATTCACAAAACTTAGTTTACTCAGTGTATCGTTTTATTTAGGTGTAGCTTACACGTGGCTGTGTTAAAACCATCCTGTAACAGTTACACTGATGACTGACAGCAGCTGAAGTTTATTTTTTTAACTTTATACACCTTATTCAGAGCAGCGCCATGACAGGTATGAAAGTGAGGCTGTGAGGGATAGACTTACCGTGTTTCCAATGGCATCCACTGTAAAAAGCTGAATAAAACTGCTAGATAGTTACATTTTTCCACAGCTTACATTGTCGGGAGTTTTTTGTCAACTGAAATTTCTTGGAAAGATATTTTTTCAGTGTTTCATGAGCAGAACAATCCGAAAACACATTAAATAACAGTACAGCCCATTGAAGAGATGCATGACTATCCCTCACAGCCTCGCTTTCATTCTCATTAAAAATCAAAGATGGCGCTGCCGTGAATAAGGCGTATACACGTTTGTCTTAGACAAAATAGCATCGAACTAACGTTAACTGGCTAGCTAATACACACACAGCGTTGGCATTGGTTTACGTTCTTGATCAAACCGAAAAATTTTATACATGAAAAATACATTTACAAAATTAGTACAGATACATATTCAGGTCCAAAATGTTTGTAAGGTTACGCGTTTGTCGTAGACACGAAATAGCGTAACTATTTGCTATAAAACCAGCGCATTTGATAAAACTAAAACATTACGCCTGAAATTATACATGCAAGTAGATTTAAAATGATTAAGTCTTACTTACAGTTGTGGCCCAACAACTGCTACCGCTGGTTTTAAAGTTGGAACTGCTTCATGTTTTAGTAAGTTTCTTGTTGAATGCGTGGAGATTCTGGAAGCTGTTTTTCTTAAAATGCGCAGCACAAAGAGCTAAATTACGATTGTTATTTTCAGGAACATAATCAAACATAAATTGTTTCCATTGTTGATGAACTACAACGTCCGTGGGAAGCCCGAACACAGAAGACCTGACAGCTGGGTGAAAATAACACACTTTTGTTTTGATGAGTCGCAGAAATATGGCCATGCCCTTTTTTGGGTATTCCAGAGGGAGGGTTGATGCAAATATATGGGTTAGTTACGTATAAAACCCGTTGTAGTCCCATTCCAGTCGTTTTTGTAGGCATTAAACTTCCTGATTTTTAAAAGATGATATCTCTGCTTACATTGAACTTTCAGCGCTGCAACTTTGCAGATACTGCTCATGCACCAACAGCAACATTACACACTATTTAAAATGAAAAAAGTGAATTCGCAATCAACCACCCCTTTAATGTCTAACATTCACATGAAATCTAACCAGAATTCTCATCTGCCGAGAAACAGTTCCAGTGCCAGGACAATTAAAGTTGACATGATACGACATGGTGTCATTTTGATGTATATTCAAGTGATGGCTTCTTGAACAAGAAATAATTATAGGCGGGACTTGATTTTGTCTGTCTGAAATTGATTGGATGGTTGTGGTTTTCTATTGGTCAATCGCGTGAGTGACAGGTAGCCCCGCCCTGACGACAGTAAACACATGAGAAAAGAGAAGAGATGTCACTACAAGAACATTTCTGCTTTAAAACCTGTTTAAAAATTATATTTGCATGTGCATTACTGTCCCAAGCAAGTACGATGCGACAATTATAGCATCAAGCAATTTATCTGCACAGAAAATGCAAATATGATGTGTGATGTAGCCAATCAGAATATATGAGTGAGGTTTTGGACCAATCAGATTTCACGGTGACATTAGTTGAAGTAGTTCTTTGGATTCATCGTTTTGTGTCTGCCTGATTAAGACAGTGTAAACATTATATATGCTAACAATTTATTTCAAACTTATTGTCTGTGGCAATTAACAGCATGCCACTACTGACACTTTGCTTAACGAGAGAAAGAGGACTGTGAGTCAGAACGCCAGATAGTCAAGTGGTGCCTAATTATTTAGTTGACTTTTTCTTTTATGTTCCAAATGCAGCACAAACACACAGTCAAAAAAAAAAAAAAAAAATCAGCGGTCCAGTTTTTCTTCAGGGATCTTATTTCACACATCAAAAGTGTGTGAGTGTGACAAAACAGCAGCTAGTGTTGATCAGCCAGCTTTATTTATGGGAGATTTGAATCATTAGACTGAGCATGAATGCTTTTTAGCATAGTTTTAGAAAAGGCTAACAAAAGACTTTCACTCATCAAACCATTTAACATACAGTGCTTAAAAACATGTATATTTGTGGATCTGTTTTTGTGAAATGTTAAAGCCTACTTGCAAGTGTTTGTAATAACAGATGTGTTTACATTTAAAAACAAAAAGAGACTTAGCCTACATTATGTACCAAAACTTTGGTTGGTGCCGACCAAATTGTGCTGTGATGCATTCAAATTTTTTTGAACATTGTGTAATTTGCTATTTATATATATATATATATATATATATGCATTAGAGGTTGAAAGAAGGAGATAATGGCTCACGTGTTCTTTGTAAATAAAATTATTTGAATTGAATCTCACAAAAGAAATTGAACTCGGATGTTTTTTTACTAATGCTGATGTCCTTATCTCAGGGTTTTGTTTTCACACAGGGCTTTAGATGACAGTTCATGCGGTTCTAATACACGCAGACATCAAGCAATCCCTCTCTAAGCCTCTCTTCCGCCGATTTGCATGAAACAACGGCCTAACAAAAATGAAATGATTTGAATCAGTGGAACAATAAATCCTAGCTGTCACTCTGAGGCACATAGGTACATTGACACCAACCCACTGACGCATCTACTTTTTCTTGCTGTCAAACCTTATTTGCATTTTGCACTTATCTACCTTGACTGATTAAAAACTAAAACAAAAATGTTTTTATATCTATTATATGTCATGCACAACAGCTGAGATGACAGGCCAATTTCTTTCACACTCGTGATCTTTTCTTCTGTCTATGTCTGTTCACAGACTGAAGCTGTTCTTTGATTCATTGGTCTGAAGACTGCAAACCCAAAATTCAATTTCGCCCCATCCTTGGATCTGATACGCAGTATGATTGTGCCATCATCACAGTGAGTGGCAGTTATTCACTGCTGTAACTAGAGAAGATGCTTTACAAATTGAAGTATTTGTCCCTCACGATTTATCACCAGAACTTTATACACACACACACAGAACACAATTCTGTGTATTAGATTTCAACTGTACTGCAAGGATGCAAATAATGCCAGCTGTGCTCCAAAAGTCAGAGACAAGCAGCAATGCATAGAAATGCATTAGGGGTCATTCACACAGAACACGTTTTTTGAATACGACTATACTGCATTTTCATTGCTTTTTTATGTAAACATGTGCTGGTTGGATGTGTTTGACAGCTTTGCTAGTTCGCTAGAATTTCGAGCGTGAAAACGCATGAGGATTAATGGGAAAGATGAGTGTGAGCCTTCTTTAGACTTTCTACACTCTTAGAAAATAAGGTTCTATAACCTTAAAAGGTTCTACATATTAGAATTACTACGTATTTGGAACCCCTAAAATGTTCTAAACAGAACCCTTTTTAAAGGAGTAGTTCACTTTAAAAAAAACTTTTGCTGATAATTTACTCACCCCCATGTCATCTAAGATGTCCATGTCTTTCTTTCTTCAGTCGAAAAGAAATTAAGGTTTTTGATGAAAACATTCCAACATTTTTCACCATATAATGGACTTTACTGGTAACCAAACGGTTCAAGGTCCAAAAGACACTTTCAGTGCAAACTGTTCAAAGGGCTTTAAACGATTCCAGACGATGAATAAGGATCTTATCAAGCTAAACGATCGCTCATTTAAAAAAAAAAAATAAAGTTTAAGTTTTATAAACTCAAATGGTCACCTTGCTCTGTTCTGTGATGCGCGCTTGTGTCTCTCCTGTTCGAACTCGAACCAAATGACACAAAAAAAGATTTTGTGATTTTGATTTTGATAAACGAGTTCGAACAGGAGCAACAGAGCAAGGCGGCCATTTGATCTTATAAAACTTAAACTTATCTTTTTTTTTTTTTAAATGAGTGATCGTTTCGTTCGATAAGACCCTTATTCATCGTCTGGAATCGTTTAAAGCCCTTTGAACAGTTTGGCATGTTTTCATCCTGGAATGTTTTCATCAAAGACCTTAATTTCTTTTCGACTGAAGAAAGAAAGACATGGATATCTTGGATGTCATGGGGGTGAGTAAATTATCAGCAAAAGTTTTTTTTAAAAGTGAATTACTCCTTTAAGGGTTCAATAATTGGGATCCTTTTGGGTTCATTCATCATGGGGGTTAGAAAATGTAAATATTTATACAATTTTATGTAGTTAATCAATATCACACGAAGAGTGCCATTTCAGTTTTTCTCCTCCAAAAATCAGCATGATTAAAAT